ATCATGCTGGTAACTGGCTGGTTTTGAGGACCGAGGCAGATTTGGAGACTTTTCCATCTTGGCAGCTGGCATCAGCCTTTGGCTCATCTGTTCTTGATCTATCTTGGTGGTGGTGGCCAAGCAATGCCCTCGCTGGCCTCACTTCTAGAAACATCGTGGTTTAAGCCACCACGCAAATCCTGTGGGTCAAGACCTCCTGGCTGCAATTTTGGTCTTGCTTCTTAGGCAATTAAGCCCACCTTGCCACCGATGACTGAGTTCTGCACTCTCATCATCCCTGTTGACACTAGGTAGCCGGGTCCATGGCAGTATGTCCTACATTGACCCTGGCCCAGATACTATGGGTTTGAACTGTGTCTCCCTCAAACTCCTGCCAATTTATGGATCGGATTTCTAACTTCTGAGACCTCAGAATGTGACTTTATTTGGCAATAGGGTCATTAGTAAATAGTTAAGATGAATGAAGTCATTAGGATGGGCCTTAATCTCATGTCACGGTGTCCTTATAAAAGGGGACATTTGGGCGCACACACACGCTGGGAGAATACCATGTGAAGATGAAGAAAACATCAAAGGTTGCCAGAAAATCACCAGAAGTAGGGGAGAGACATGAACAGATTCTCCCTCACTTCCCTCAAAAGAAACTAGACACTGGCCGAGTATGGTGGCTCACACCTGTAATCCTAGCACTTTGGGAGGCTGAGGTGGAAGGATTTCTTGAGCCCAGGAGTTTGAGACCAGCCTGGGCAATATAGTAAGACCTCATCCCGAAAAAAAGGAAAAAAATTTAAAAAGAAAGCAAAAGAAACCAGCCGGGCACAGCTGTAATCTCAGCACTTTGAGAGGTGGAGGTGAGAGGATTTCCTGAACTCAGGGGTTGGCGACCAGCCTGGGCAACTTAGTGAGATCTCGTTTCTACAACAAATAAATGAAAAATTAGCTGAGCGTGACACTCTGACTCAAAAAAAAAAAAAAAAAAAGAAAAAGAAAAAGAAAAAAGAAACCAACACTACCAGCACCTTGACCTCAGACTGCTGGCCTCTGAACCGTGAGACAATCAATTTCTGTTTTTTAAGTCACCCAGTTTGCGGCATTTCACTATGGCAGCCCTAGCAAACTAACAAAAAGGCATCCTCTCCACAACGCTTCATACCTCCCCATCAGCACATTCCTTATGTCCTCTGGGAAGGGTGTGTTCTTTGGATCCTTCTAGGGAACAGAATCCTCTGGTGAAGTCTCTGGTCTTACATAATAATCCCATTCTTTTTTTTTTTTTGAGTTGGAGTCTCATTCTGTCGCCCAGACTGGAGTGCAGTGGCCTGCTCCTGGCCACTGTAGCCTTGACCTGCTGGGCTCTGGCAATCCTTCCGCCTCAGCCTACCAAGTAGCTGGAACTACAGGCGCGTGCTACCACACCCGGCTAATTTTTGATTTATTGCAGAGACGAGGTCTCACCAAGTTGCCTGGGTGTGTCTTGAACTCGAGGGCTCAGGCAATCCACTCGCCTCGGCCTCCCAAAGTGCTGGGATTACAGGCTGAGCCATCGAGCCCAGCCTCATAATAATCCCATTCTATCACATCCGCCTCTCAGACTTTTGACATCTTTCTCAATACTCTGCTAAGGCCATTTGGGCTTCTTTTTTTTGAGTCGGAGTCTTACTCTGTCCCCCAGGCTGGAGTGCAATGGTACACTCACAGCCACTGCAGCTTCGACCTACTGGGCTCAGGTGATCCTCCTGCCTCAGCCTTCCAAGTAGCTGGAACTACATGCATGCACCACCACGCCGGGCTAATTTTTTGATTTACTGTAGACACAAGGTCTTGCCAAGTTGCTCAGGCTGGTCTTGAACCCCTGGGCTCAGGCAATTCTCTCATCTCCACCTTCCAAAGTGCTGGGATGACAGACATGAGCCACTGTGCCTGGCCTATTATCAACACTCTTATCTCTTAAATGCTGAAGGGATTGCATAAGCCAGTGCCTCCACCTACACCTGTAACCCATCCTAATCAAATACAGATGAGAGTCTTAGTAATTGTGACTCTCCACCATTCCAGGGGTTTGTAGCACTTATTCCTGGTCCAGCCAGTGGAGGATCAAATTCCAGAATCCCATCAGGGGGGTCTGCTTTCTACCACCCCTTCTGGCACCAGCTGTTTTAGGATGAGTTCCCCCAGGGGCAGACTTGGAGGCAAGGATTTGAATGCAGGTAGTTTATTTGGGTGGTGATCCAAGGGACAACAGTAGAGCTTGAGGACACGAGACAGGGAAGGAAAGGAGGCCAATGACAAATATCATTAGTCAGGCGTAGTGGTACACACCTGTGATCCCAGCTGCTTGGGAGGCTGAGGCAGAAAGATCGCCTGAGCCCAGGAGGTCGAGGCTGCAGTGAGCTGTGATCATGCCACTGCATTCCAGCCTGGGTGACAGAATGAAACCACAACTCAAAAAAAAAAAAAAAAAGTTTGTTTGCTTTTCTCTCTCTCTGTCTCTCTTTTTGAACCAGGGTCTCACTCTGTCATCTAGGCTAGAGTGCAGTGGCATGATCACATCTCACAGCAGCCTTGACTTCCTGGTCTCAAATGATCCTCCTGCCTTAACTTCTCAAGTAGCTGGGACTACTGGCATGTGCCACCATGCTCAGCAAATTTAAAATTTTTTTGTAGACACCAGGTACGGTGGCTCAATCCTGTAATCCCAGCACTTTGGGAGGCGGAGGCACGAAGATTACTTGAACTCAGGGGTTCGAGACCAGCCTGGGCAACTTGGTGAGACCTCGTCTCTACAATAAATAAAAAAATTAGCTGGGTGTAGTGGTGCATGCCTATAGTTCCAGCTACATGGAAGGCTGAGGCGGAAGGATTGCCTGAGCCCAGCAAGTCGACACTGTGGTGGTGGCTGTGAGCGTACCACTGCACTCTATCTAGCCTGGGTGACACAGTGAGACTCCAACTAAAAAGAAAAATTTTTTTTGGGTAGAGATGAGGTTTTGCTATGTTGCCCAGGTTGGTCTTGAACTCCAAACTTCAAGTAATCTTCCTGTGTCCACCTCCCAAAGTGCTGGGATTACAGGTGGGAGTCACTGTGCCCAACCCTGCTTTTCTCTTGCAATTCGTCTTATTACAAAGCCCCAGCCATGGGTCTGTGATATAGTTAGAGAAAACATTCCCCCCCCCCACAACCCTCAGGTGGAGCATGGCTCATGCCCATGGGTGGTAGTGCTATCAACAGGCACAAGAACAATGAGGGGACATTGATGAGACACCAGCATGTGCCTGTGCCAGCCACTCCCCAATTCATGGGGCAAATATGATTTTAATGGTTTCTTCTGTTTATGCCACTGGGGGATACAGCAGGGATGAGGGACATGCGGTCCCTGTTCTTGGAGCCCAGCGGGAGAGGCAGACCATAAACTGGCAATCAAAACAATGACAGATCATGAAATGTGCTCTAGGGAAAATATGCAGTTGTGAGACAAAGCAACAAACGTTCAGACACCGTGTTTGCTGTTTCTGCTGGCCAGCAGAATGTCACATGCTCCTGACTCTGGGACAGCCGATGTGCAGGTCTCCAGAAAGATGCTTTTTGGTTTGTTTGCTTTTCCCCACAGTCTCTTCCTCCTGGTCTCAGGTGGTCCTTCTGCCTCAGTCTCCTGAGTAGCTGGGACTACGTGTGTGTGTTACCATGACCAGCTAATCCCGTCCTTCCTTCCATCCTTTCTTTCCCTTTTTTTTTTCCTTTTTGTAGAAATGAGGTCTCTCTTTGTTTCCCAGGCTGATTTTGAGCTCCTGGGCTCAAGCAATCCTCCCTCTTCGGTCTCCCGAAGTACTGGGATGACAGGCATGAGCCACCACTCCCAGCCTTGGAAAGATGCTTTGAAGACAAATCAGGATGGAGCACGCGGTCCCCCACCTTCTTGCCTGAGTCACTACATTCTTTAAAAGATGAAGCCGGGCTCGGTGGCTCAGCCGGTAATCCCGCGCCTTTGGGAGCCTGAGGTGAGTGGATTGCCTGAGCCCGTGGGTTCGAGACCCGCCTGGGCAGCGAGAC